AAGAGTTTTAATTTTGGAACGATTTTCGTCCAAGTGGCCCTTTAATGCCTACTAATAACAGACATCTGCAGGCTGTTAAGGCTACAGATATGTGAAAATATCTCTAATGTTGATATGTAATTTATTTATTTGCAGAACTGCATTGCGGCGAAACAATAGTGTCAAGTACCTGTTGTCAGATTCTGTCATTGAATACATTAAAACCAATGGTCTCTATACTTCTTAATTCACACAATCTTCTAAAACCATTCCACTGATTAATTTTAGTTTTTATTATGCAGTTCCAGAAATTATTCATATATTATTATTTGTTTTCTCCTCATTAGATATTCATGAGTTTGAGAAAGAGTATAAACACTATAAGTGTGCAACACTTTGCACTATTTAGTAATAAAAAGTGCTAATTAAACATTAAATAGTAAGATTAGCATAATTTAGCAGTATTAGTGGTATTTATGTTACACACTTATAGTGTTTGTACTCTAGTATTTCCTCTATTAAATAAGCCTACCACAGGCTTTAATACGTGTAAGCCCCCTTCTAATAATTAAGCTCCTAGTCTGTGGCACCAAAATTCCTATTACCCCTCAGCCTCTAAACTGTGTTAGCTCTCACCTTTAACGAACCTTGTGGTATTATTCCCTTTACAGGCCTTTAAAAATTAATTCTGCCTTTAGGGATTAATATTATAATGGATAAAAATGATATCATTATGAATTTCCAAAGATCAGGAAAATTTATAGCCCAGCCCCTAATAAACTCCCCCCCCCCCTTCACCGGCGCTTTTAATAAGCGCCCCATCCGAAAGCACTAAAAAAAGAATAACCCTGGGGGTGCTTAATAGAGTAAATAAGGTACAGCTTATTCCTTGACGAACAACTAACTTACAGGTTTAGCCTCGTTTAAAAGTAAATCAAACTTTATTACAAAACTCAACTTTAATGTAAAAAAAAGCAATTGTGTGACCCGAACAATACCAATGTTTTGATACAGTATCGCGTATGGACTTTCATCTATGGATATTTATGAAGCTATAAACATAGCTAAACTAGTCCTGTGAAAATGGTGATATTGAATGGTGAACCCCCGCGTGCTTCATAACAGCACACAGCACGCACTCGCGTTTTCTATTTCTTCAATATTATGACAGTACTGGCCTTTATCATTTAGATAAAGCTTGTGCAGAAAGAATTAGTTGTATATTAATAACACATAACCATCTTGACTGTCATTTTTAATTTTACAATAAAGGTTTAGTAAAAAACTGGTCATGCATACTTTAATATCAGCTAAACATTTATTTATGATTACAAGTCACAAATTTTCTCTTAAGGAGGCTGGAAACCGTTTTTCTTGAGTGTGCATGCGCTCTAGGACGATGACGTTTTAATATTCAAACTGAAAAAAATCAAAAACTCTACGGTGAAATTTCTTCAAATTTTGCTCATGGATTTGGTTTATGTTTTCAAAAACTTTAAAAAATTCTGTAAGAGGGAACTATTCCAAACAAATTTATTGATTTTTACGAATTCCCTCTTTCAGAATTTTTTCTTTTTCATCAAAAAGAAGATTACAATACAAAGTTTACATATTTTTTAAAAAAAAGTTAAAAAAAAAACTTCAATGTTTGGTTCTCGAGTTATGACAAGGGTTCTAATGTCGTCATAGCAATGTTTTATGTCATTTTTTCACGTTCATTTTGATCTTTGGCTTTCCTGGTTTACTTGCTGTCATATTGTGGCCATATTGTTATTTTTTAGTTCATTGTGAGTGTATGTGAAGGCACAAAACACTTTCCAGCCTCCTTAAAAACACGATTTTGAGTGTTGGCTCTCTTAATAATCAGCTGATGTAAACAATGATGATCAATTATGATCAAGTTGTTTTTTGCGCAGCCATCACCTCAGTTGTGTTAAAATATACAGGCATTCAGCCAAGACCAAAAGAATTTTGATCAACTTGTAAATTGTTTATAATATTATGTACATACCTTACCATACAATAGACCATGAGCCCACCACAAACAATTAACAATTCCAAAAATATATTTTCATTACTTAGAAAGACCATGTATAAATTAGTAATTTCATAGAGTTGTGTTCTCATATATTAAATCCCTGCATTCTCAACTTTCACATCCCCATAATCCTTTGTGTCTTTGGGGGGTAACCAGAGGTTAAAAACCACTTATTTTGCTGAAGGCTGATCAAACAATGTTGACAATACCTTGTTTGGTATCCAAAAATAAAATGAAGAAGTAAAAAACAAAAAGATACAAGCTTGAAGATGTTAAAGGTTAATTTAAAAAAAAATTCCTTAAGTCAATACATTTTCTGTAAGACCAAAACTCTTCATGATCTGTACACGCAAAAATAACTTGGAATAAACTGATAATCAGTATTGTACAGATAAAAGCAGGTATAGTATAATTCAATTAAGAAATCTTTCAATTTGGGACAGTTTTTTGATTGGTTACCCCCCAAAAACGCAAGGCATTATAATGGGGATGCGAAAGTCGAGAATAGTTATAAGCATTTGAAATGTACCAAGAGCATGATAGCGAGGCTGGTAGGCCCTTGGTTGTTTCCATAGTAACCTTTCTGATCTAATAACAAATAGCTGTAGATTTTTATCATTTAATGTTACTACAGTGATATTTTGGAAGGTTTCAATATACAGTACAGTTTTTTTCTAATGAAAGCAATGTTGTCTTCTACAATTGATGAACAGAAGAGTAGAAAGTGTGCACCTGTGTGCAGTTATAAAGCTGCTTACTGCAGTTTTCGATATTCTGTGAACTCAGATATTTCAACGACTTTTGTGAAATTGGTTTTTCACTGCTGCCAGTCAAGGACATAAAAGGTACTGACTGATTAGTTTTGATTGACAGCAGTGAAAAAAAGAAAAAAAGATACAGTGTGCAGCTTGTAACTACAAAGTTCACAGAATATTTAAAATCGCAGTAAAGTACAAATTCTTTACAGAAGTCAACATTATCAATGTTGAAATACCATGGACTTTTTAAATGTCTATAAAAGCTGACTTATATGATTGAGGTTAAGCAAGTATGAATCTGGTCATCAAAAACACTGTGGTGTGCATTGAATATATCTTTCTCTTTCTCCGCAAGGGTAATCTTTGATGTACATGTAGAAATAAATTTAAAATATTTCAAATAAAAATTTAGGGGAGCTCTAATGATTACCCTTAAGCCTAGTAGTTTTGAAATTGGTATAGAGACCCTCCTGCTCGTACTCAAGCTTTGCCATACCTGCCTGCATTAAAAAGTCAAGTTAATAGAGTAYAAACACTAAAAGTGTGCAACACTTTGCACTATTTAGTAGTAAATAGTGCTAATTAAACAATAGAAAACAATAGGATTAGCAGTATTTAGCAGTATTTAGTGGTATTTATGTTACACACTTATAGTGTTTGTACTCTAGCCTAAATAAAGGCAGAATTTTGTCTTTAAAACTCATGTTCAGCCTAAGTTGTCTAATATTTATCTTTTTGATAAATTTTTCTTTTTTTCTTTTGTGAAATTAAAAGTCATAACAACTTTACATATTATTTATACCTTTGTCTTGATGTGGTTTATTTAACATTATGTAGTCTTAGTAAAATATTTCAATAAAAATAAAATTAATTTAGATATAGTTTTTGAGTTTTCTTTTGGAAACCATGATAAACACACTTCCTAGACCTTAAGAACCAGCCACCCCTCCCCTGCTAGTCTCAATTATTTGTCCTAAAATCCCCACCCCACCCCAGTTAGTGTGGAAAACAAACAGTATCCACCAACCATAATATTGTGTAAGAAGGATATTCTATATTCCATAGGTGTCTCTTTTTTTCTATGGCTAGAGACCCCCTCAATAGCCCTTACTCACGCTGCAGCCCTCTTTATGGAGGCTTTGCACCATCACGTGCCAGCACCCATAATACAGCTTGGGCTGCCTGTGAGGGTTAGATGGCAGAACAATAAAATCCCTTTGCTCTCAGGAATTGAATTCTTTCTCGTGTAAAACAATTGTATTGTTCCTGCTATCTAACATGGCTGCCATCACGTGATGGTGCAAAACCTCTATTCCTGGCTTTGCACCATCTCATGCCAACAACCATAATAAAGCTTGGACTTCCTGTGGTTAGATGGGAGAACAATGAAATTCCTTTGCTCTTGGGAATTGAATATTTGCAATGTATAATGATTGTATTGTTACCAAAAGGTCAGTTTAAAACCAGACTTCCTACTATTTTTATAACAAACACGACTTTTTTTATCGTGTTTGTTTTAAAAAAAGATTGTATTGTTCCTACCATCTGACATGGCTGCTGTCACTTGATGTTGCAAAGCCTCTATTCCTACACAAGCCTTTAACCAGCATAAATCTATTCTCAAGCACTTGAATATGAAGCATGAGAATATCTATTGTTTCAGTCAACATGGCTGCCACACCCCAGAGGAAGCCCATCTCAAAGGGAGAAAACCTGCTGACAAGGTTGGATCATAATGTGGACTAAAATGCATCCAGTGTGCATTTTTCACACGCTTAAAAGTTGCTTTAAGAGTATTGTAGCCTTCTTCAGTACAATACATTAAGAAATTTAAAAAAGCTAATAGCTTGATTTCTATTTGATTGATGTATAAATGCAGGCTGAACATTCCTGATTATCTGTGGGGGAGTTATTAATACTTGTATTGCTGTCGGCAGACGCTATACTCGCACTATGAAAAGACTTTACATCCTCCATGTCTCCTTGAGGGCAATCAACCATAACAAATGCATCAAAGTCCGAAAGCACCACATTGTAGCATGTCTTTAGCGTACAGGAATCCAAAGCCTTTTCTATCTGTGACGATTCTGATAAGTTAACAAGTTCTTCTACTGTGTAATTCTCTTTAAAATTCCCATTGATGTAATCTTCGATTTTTTGAACTGAGAGTTCGGTTTGAAGAAATAGATGTAATCCAACAAAGGATAGATATTTCCGTCTATTTAATACCCTGGTTGGTCGAACAAAAATAATACAACAAAATTAGGAATAAGCATACAGTAACATGGAAATCGAATGAGGGGGGAATGAGAGGCRCGGATGAGAGGGGGGAACCATACTTTTTAATGAAATTGGTTTTGATTTTTGCCAGCCTGCTATAGATAAATCTTGGCTGGCCAGAAACTTGCTGTTGATGGTCTAAGAAAATGTTTATAGCCTGAGTTTGTAAATACAATGATTTATTGTTCAAAAGTAAGTTAATATTGAAATGCCACAGGCATTTAGTTTTAAGAAAATATCATATACTATAATGGTGTTTAAGTAACACTTTTTGTGGTTAAGAGTGCATTTAACACAAGGCAGTTGTTTGGGGTATTCTGTACAGGGCTTAAAATAACAGCCAGACATCAGACAATGTCCGGTAGATCTGCAGCTTTTGCAATCTTTCAGCTGAGCCCTTATTAAAACTACCCCACACTACATCACAGTAGTCAAAATATGGTAAAATAAGGGCATTATAATTAATAATCGAGGTATCAAATGCAACAAATGAACGGACTTCCTTTAAAGCACTGATGCCCATTGACACCTTTTTAGTAATATGATCAACTTGGTCAGACCATGAAAGCATTTGATGAATGGAAATGTCAAGCAATTTAGGTACATTTGCTCTCTTTACAGGAATATTCCCTATTGATAACGGGAAGTGTTGGAAGAGAAGCCAATTTTGGGTTTGAACCCAGGAGAATAAACTCAGTTTTTGCAACGAGAGAGAGAGAGAGAAATAAACCTTGTGATCATGATATTGGTTTTGGACAGAAAGTCGTTAAGAGGTATAGTCAATATCTGGTCTACTGCAAATCAATTCTGTCATAAATATGAACCATTTTTCTTACTTGTGTAGAAAATCTTTCAATCCCTGCATTCTTGAGTGGACAAATTTGGGTTCAAATCGACCAAACAGTCTTTTTGGAGGTAAATTTGGAACAACAAATTCACTAAAAACAAGAATAAATAAAAACTAGAAATAAATATCATTAATTAAAGCATAAAAAGATAAAAATAACACTTCCGTGTCCAGCATAGTTGTTGTACGTTAACTTCAGGTATTTTAGATGAACTAGCTGTCAATTTTTATATGTAAAATAATATGACACACTCAATTTCCTGCGTATTATGACAATTTTTTTGATGCAATTACGGAGTGATAATGAAATTAATGGTCTGTAAACCGGTTTTGAATGTTTTTTTTTTGCTGATGCCTGAGTGAGGGAATTTTCTTCTATTCCTTTGTGTGGCTCACTCCATTGGTTTGAGCTTGTGACTTTCAAGTTTGCTTGTTTATGTAAAAAATGGTTGTTTTTCAGGCACTCTTTCTCAGTTTTTAGTGTCGTACAATAAACAGTTTAGTACACAGAGCAATTATAGAATACCCCGCAAACAATATGCAGTTGTTGGAACACTTCGAAGAACAACGCATACAACAATAGAAATCATGGACATTAAGTATTTGCATATGATTTGCAGGGTATTCTATAAGTATAGCATAATCTCTATGTAATAAATTAATATGCTGTAAAAAAATAATGTGGATAATTTCTGTGGTTAAAGTAAAGATATATTTATCAATTATATTTTTGATGGATTCCACATCATAATTATACCATAAATTTGCAAGAACTGTGCAAAACCAAAAAATTTTATAGTCACATGATTAGAAACTATAAGATGCTGAAGTCAGGACCTCTATCTTTCACCAAGCTCCTAAATCTTTTATTATTCTTCAATATTGAAAAACAAAGAGACAAAATGTTCACCTTGCAAAGCCATTTATCTCTGTAGTACACAGTTTGTTCCTCAACCAAATGAAATCTGAATATCTTCTTCTAACAGAGGAGTTTTTTCTTGAAAATGCTATGTTATTAGTCTTCAAGAAAACGAAAATAAACTCAATTGGAATATAATGTCAACAGGTTATAAATATCATAATATGTAATGAGCTGAAAGATGGAATTGAAATCCTATAGAGGGGAAATATTGTTCTTTAACAGAAAAATATTCCTTTTATGAAACATTTCCCCTGCACATGTTGGTATAATAATCATTTCCTTGATTCCTTTCAAGTAAATAAACTGTTAAATATTACTAAATCCTTTCATGTTTTTATCTTTAAATCCATCCTGTAGTGCGTGGGTAGGGTACCCCTCCCCCCTCCTTAGTATTTTCTTCTATTGCGCAAAAATGTTAAGTATGGATGGAAGGCGATAGATGCGTAAAGGGTTAAAGTAAAGGAGAAAACTTATTACCCGTTAATGAAATAGTAAGGTCTTTAGCTAGTTTTACAGATTATCATTACCTCTATTGACGTACATATATATATATATATCAAGCTAAATGAAAATTTTACTCAAAGCTTTTATTGTTCAACTCACATCGATTTGAATCTCGTAGTCCACAAATCTCCCTCTGCTGCAGTTGTGTATTCTTGGGTTTATGACCTCAACGTGTACAATCTATTAAGAAAAAGATTTAACATAAATTTATTGACTACTTTGAAGATCCATGAGCTTAAATAAAATCATTAATCTATAACAAGAATCTAAGAAATACGTAAGCTCATAAACATCGTTTCTACAAACAATAGTTTATCGATTACAGTTCTAAGGTTAAACCCCGAGTAAGTTTTGATGCTTATTTAGACCATTCGTCTTTCGAATATTGTCAAAATTATTATAGCCGATTTTTAAAGATTTTTTTTTCCTCAAATTGGCTTTCTTTTTGAACCGTTTCTTTTTCGGGCGAAAATTCAATACTATCTTAAATTGGCGCGAAATTAAGCCGATGTTTGTAAAATTAAGCTTGGGTGTATCTTACTCACCGAAAACTCTGGTTCCTTTTTACTTCTCGTCATCTTTATATTAGGTGTATTCTTTGAATAGGATCGTAATAGTGTAGCAGTGATTCCCCTATCGACCAGTTCGAGATCCTGTTTGTATCTGTTTTGATCGACGAGGTCCTTGGATGATGTAATCATGTGATGTTCATGTGACCAGCTCGATCTTATCGCGTGACGTGTAGACCAACTCAAAATAATACGTTACAGTAAAAATTAAATTAAATTAAATCTTAAAAGCAAATACAGAATTAAAAAAAGAAAAAAAAACTTGAGAAGAAATTAGCACACATATTCCACACATATATATTTGACCGTCTACTTGGGTTTGACCACAGGTAGCCCAAGCGCAGAGTTTGTGAATAGCGTGAGGTTTACTAAATTTAAAATGAGATGAATGTTAGAATTTCAAAGGCTCCGAAAAATGTCGTCCCTCGCTATCAGACATTATCACCCAACCAAGGTATACCAGTAGCCAGCTGCTGTGCAGACAATCCCTTTCCCCTCCCCACTCCGAACCGTAACCCAAACACGCTCAGTTTCACTTGATCACGCGAGTAAGTAATAATGTCATTGGCAAATCACGGGCGCCAGAGTCCAAAGTCTGCCAATACCAACTTCCAATAGTGTTGAGCTCCGTTCTCCCGGCCTGTGTTCTTTCTCTCAAAAAGATTAGTGCAAATTCGAAGTATAAGAGGTATAAGAGCAATACGTTAAAAGACTTGCCAAAAATATGTTTTGTATTTTGATCGGAGATAAACACAGAACTCTCACATTTCCCCTAGGGGGTTACGGTAGGGAATTTTGTCATTGTGCAATACATTGCGCATGCACCAAAAAATAGATTATGCCAGGCCCTCTTTCTTCGTTGCAGGCCAGAAGAAACACAGGCTCTGGGTACAAAATTGTTTTGTATAGCACTTTCGTTCAGGATGCGCAATACGTAAGAATGGCAGGGCCCCTGGTGTACATCGTATACCTATATTTCTCTAGCGCCTTCCTGTTTCGCGTCAACGCCAGCCCGCTGATCAAAAAGCTGGAAGACTCTGGGCTCGAGTTGAGTCTAACCACAGAGGTAGCCTACGCCTCTTATTTATGGAGTTTCCAGTTTTTTTCTTTATTGTTGCTCTTTCAACATTTTAAATTAAGTTAAATTTTCAATTTTTATTTTTTATTTCTTCGGCTGGAGCCCGCATTTGCTTATGATCAGCATCTGAGCGCATATTTGCGCGCGAATTTGCACATCAGTTACGTCACTGATGACGTATGTCTAACTGACATTATGACATCAGTAATAAGCTTTCTCGATCATTCTCATTATTTTTTAATGAATTAAACTGCGAGTCTACAAAGTTCTTGTAGAATCTATTATTTCAGTGCATATCGAGATGGAAAATTTAAAACAAAACAGTCGGAAATTTTTGCGTTAGTCACCAGAACGAACCATGGTAAGGATAATAGACAAAGAGCTGAATTGTGAAGAAAAGAGATCAGAAAATGAAAGGCGTGGTTCGGAATGTAATTTGTCTTGCGCTTTGCTGCATCGCTGGAATGTTGGATGAGAATTTTCAATCATATCTAACTTTTAGTGAAAACTGTGGGAGGAAAAACGATATAAAAGCGAGGAATAGAAAAGATTACGGAAGAAAAAATAACGTGAAAGTGGGAAATGAAAAGATAAAGGTTCATACAATATGACTAAATACGATTTGGATGAGGGATTTCATCCATATTTTTTAATTAATGAAAAATGGAAGGCACAACAAGTAAAACAGAATAGGAAAATATCGTGAAAATATATGATTTATAAAGAAGGAATATTTTGTGAAAGAAAGAACTTACATTTATGACAAGTGTAGTGGTGAGTAATGATAAAATTGAGATGGTTTGTTTTCCTTTGCAGTTGACAACAAGGGTTGTTCGAGTAAAGCAACAGAAGAGAAGTAACGAAGAGTCTTATTTCGAGTCCTGGTGTATGTGCAATGGATTTTTCTTTCTGCTTCTGCTGACATCAGTTCAGCTTTTCCCAAAGGCTGAAGACAAGCCTAAAGGTAAGAATAAGAAGATAGAGAAACTGCAATGCACTTGGTCATAGGCCAAGGGCGAGAGTTGATAATGAAACTGTAAGGGTAAAAAGAATCACAAGTGTACTTTCTCTATATCAAACAACTATATATTGTCTAGAATAATTACTACAGACAATAACTGCAGCAATCTTTAGGTAAATGTAAGAGGTGCTAGCTTGATATATAGCAAGGTCCTATTACGATTYGATCTGTCTTCACCATATTTAATGAAGCCGAATGGTTGGGAAATCTACCGTTCTATGGGGTTTACAAACCATTTCGCTCTATTAACTATGTCTAACTATAATAAGGAAACTAGTATTTTCAGCCATACTTGCTTTGGTTCATTGTGCACGATCATTATCACGTGATGGTACGGTTCAACATCGCTCGCCAAATAACAGCTGTATTCTATAGGGTTTCCAAACCATTCTGCTCTTATTAACTATGTCGTCACCAACGGGTAGCTTATTTATTTCCTACTATTGCATGTACGTCCCTGGTAGGCGAATGCGTCGCATTTTGGCAAGCACCACGCATAAAGTCTTATATAGGACCAAGAAACAATATAATGTTTTGGTTGCACTGAATTTTGTTATAAGGTTAAAAGGAATACCATTTGGTGGGTTCTCTTTCCTTATCTAGTTACAGAGAATCCCTTCATTCAAGGGCAGGAGAGTCAAGCTGAACCAAGGTCTGTTCCCTTCATCCCTGGACAAGAATATCAGAAGTTTGACTACAAAGTAAAAGTGATCAGGAGAAGAAAGAGGAGTGGTGTGCGAGGCAGAAGAAAGAGAAGACCAAAGATCAGGGGCGATTTGTATGACGGGTGGACGGCAGAAAGTACTACACGACTGGCGATGGTTGTGTTCTTTCTTCACCTGGAAAACAACTCCAACAACATCGCTACAAGACGAGTTTAAAGAAGTGTATATGGAAGATGTTGAGAAGACTGCAAGGCAGGAAGATGCTGGTGTTAGAATACAGAAAGAACTTGATGACAAGGTGGTGGTGGTTGTAAGAGACGAAAAAGGTGACTATAAAGAGACGACACTGACTAGTGATATCAGAGACGAGGAGCTAAAGTTGGAAAATGACATCACAGAGGAAGAAAACAATGACTGCGTTGTGGAACAGAAAGTAGCGATTCAAAAGGATGACAAATCGAATATGGAAGATAGTTGCACGATTAAAAGTGTTGCTTCTGAATGCTGTCCAGTACGAAGATTGGAGACTCATGTCTTGCAGAAGACAGACAAGCCAAAGACTTATAACGTGGTTCCACTGAAACAGCTTGAGAGCAAAGTTCAGTTACCAGTTAGGACTGAAACTGTTGCTTCTGAATGCTGTCCCGTACGAAGATTGGAGACTCATGTCTTGCAGAAGACAGACAAGCCAAAGACGTTTAACCTGGTTCCACTGAAACAGGTTGAGAGCAAACCTTCCACTCAGCTGCAAGTTACAGAAGCATCTTTGGAGGTCGGTGAAGCAAAGTCCCATGACGTCAGTACTTCGAGTTGTTATCGTAAAGAGATATGGGACACTCATGTCCTACAGAAGACAGACGACCCAAAGACCTTCAATCTGGTTCCATTGCAAAAGAAACGACTGCAAGATGACAAAGTTGTCAAAAGTACTTCATGGAGTAAAGATGTAATTCCTAACACATCCACAAGGGACGCGGAGTTGCAGTCCAGTGGCTTATCTACACCTAGACTCGTGTTCAGCAAAGAAAGATCAACTTTCAAAGGTAAGACAATTTGCTGGGTTACTGCTGGGCGTTACTGATGCTACAACATGTATTTCTAGAACGAATATTGAATGCTTCTATTTTATTTCTTAAGATGATAGTCAACCAGAAAGAAAATCGAGAGAAAACAACCAAAAGAAAGATCACATACCATCACCTAGTCGTTTTTATTACAAGCCAAATAAGAATTCTCATTATTCTAATTCCAAGCGAACTGGAGGTCCATCCTGCAGAGAGGAGATGGGTTTGTCCTGGCGTAACCGATCCAAAGAATCTGCCGAATCATCCAAAGGTCATATGTATTTAAGCTGGCGTCAAAAGGAATGTCAAAGTTTTGGATCATCTATGTCTAGCAACTGGCGACAGCACGATTATACTGCAAGGTCTTCTTCTAGAACAGCTCAGCCATTAAGTTGGCGTAAACACAAGGAGAATGCTAGAGACTCTCCTAATGAAGAGATGCGTTACAACTGGAGAAATGACAGACAAACTAAAGCTCCGTCTTCTGCATCAAACTGGCGAATAACATCCGAGTCAA